GCAAGTAGAAAAATAGGAACCACCTTTGGTGGGAAGGTAACAGCGTTCCGTGCACCTTCGGCATTTAGTCATGCTGGCCACATGACCACGGAGACGTCTTCGGACAGTGCTGGCCCTTCGGTTTTGAAATGGAGATGAGCACCACCCCATAGAGTCAGGAAGGGCTAGCACCTATGTGCGAGGGGAACCTGTACCTATACCTTAGAGGGGCATAGGAGATTAAGATGTATCACACAACTGGTGGTCACAACTCACAGGCTCCTAAAAGTGGGGTCAGAGACAAGAACGCAAAACTCAGGAGGTCCCTTCACCTCATCCCCAAATCCGGCACATTGCACTAAGTGAATGCCCTTTCTCCATGCAATACTAGAGTAGTACAAACAGGAGGTAAACTGATGTAGGATAAATGATGAAACCCTCAGGACTAGTGGTCCATTTAGCACTGAATTGTATGCTCCAATTCTCCAAAGCCCAGAAAGGATTTGTTTTGGGGGTTCCCCTAAAACTAGAAACAAAATTAAATTGACCAAGGATGGACCCTCCATCCTTTATTGGCTCAGATGACCCATCTGTACCAGAGGGACTCACATTGGGAAAGCCCTACAACAGACGCCCCTACAACTGCTGTATCCGTTGCTCCCAATGAGAAGAACTGGACTTCCTTTCCTTCTCCCCTAAATGTCAAAACGTTGCAGGCTGATTGGCGTGCTTTATATCCTAAATTTCTTCCCCCTGCAGCCTGAAGATGAGTCTGAACAGGACACAATGTAGTGCGGTGGTTGGGTTTAGCGACACCACATCTGGACCCTTGGGGTTCTTCGGAATTAAAAAAAAAATGACCATGGACAGAAGCCGATCGCAGTCTTTCCCTCTGCCAGGCAGCGTCTCCCGAAGCCCCCTTCACCTTCTCACACCTTGACCCCCCCGGTGAAGAGTGCACGATTATAGATCGTTTACCCTCCCTCTACTCCCAACAACTGTGTCCATTTTACCTGTAAACCAGCTTCCGTCGGACGCTGCGTTTGAAGAAACCGCTGCAGCCGTTGCAAGCGTAGATGCCGTAATGCTTCCCACTGCTGGTGTCACCGCATACTTTGCAGAGCAATACGGGGCTCCCTGCTTTGCCAGGTGCCAGACTAAGCTCTACACAGAAGGGAGAAGAGGACAGTTAACAGCCGGACAAATGCAGCATCCAAACAAAGGAGACGAAGCCAACAGATTTTCAACAGAAAATGTATACGGAACCTTCAGTTGATAGTTAGCAGCAATAGCAATAGCAGTTAGACTTATATACCGCTTCATAGGGCTTTCAGCCCTCTCTAAG